TTTGCAGGCGCTGCGGAGGGCAGGCCTGCTGCCGATAAGAGGGCAAGCCTGCGGTTGCGATGCAGGAGTAGGCCAAAGGCGCTGGGGCTGCAGTGCACGGGCTGCACGTTCCAGAGGCTCTCTCCCCAGGCTCCCGCCTGACGCAGGCAAGGCTGCGACGCAGGAGTAGGCCAAAGGCGCTGGGAAGGGTTTGAAGCCGCGGGGGAGGGCAAAACCTGGGAAGGGTTTGCAGCCGCGGGGGAGGGTTTGAAGGCGGTGCAAAATGCCTAACGTCGCTTTTGGAAGCCCATAGGAGCACGGGCTGCACGTTCCAGGGCTCTCTCCCCAGGCTCCCGCCTGACGCAGGCAAGGCTGCGATGCAGGAGTAGGCCAAAGGCGCTGGGAAGGGTTTGAAGTCGCGGGGGAGGGTTTGAAGGCGGTGCAAAATGCCTAACGTCGCTTTTGGAAGCCCATAAGAAGAGAAGAGGCAGGCCTGCGAGCTGCCGAGAAGAGGAAGAGGGCAAGGCTGCGGTGCAGGAGTAGGCCAAAACGTCGCTTTTGGAAGCCCATAAGAAGAGAAGAGGCAGGCCTGCGATTAGAAGAGAAGAGGCAGGCCTGCTGCCGAGGGGTTTGAAGACTTGGCCAACTGCTTCACCCTGCGGTGTCCCAGGCGCCTCCCCGCCTAGGCTTTGGCTATAGGCCGGGGTCGGTGGATAATAGATGATATAGATGCAATGTTGAGCTGTATCCGTAAAGTCCGAGTAAGTGCGTTGATCTTCGACATGTTGAGCTGGCCCTTGTGTCCTTTACCACATGAAGGGGGGGGTTGAGCAAGATTCAGCTGGCATTGGGGACAGCCTCCCGCTCACAGAGTCTGCCAGAATGGCCGAGCAACTCAGAGAAGACTAGCAGTTGGTCATCATCAAGCTGGAACGGCAACAGCAGTTGGGGAGCATGGGCCTCGGAAAAAATGTGCAATGAGATTCAGATGTCTCGTTCTGGTTCCATGGTTACGCAGTAGTTTTGTATAGAGATGATGCAACCACCTTGAGTTTCCTTGTGGACCTAGTAGAAGCAGGGGCAAGGCATGTTGAGAGGGTGTTTGGCTGGCGCCAGTAGATGTAGCCTCGAGACAGTTGTGTTCCGCTGAGTGCGCCTTAGAACACGAGTTGCACTGTTGCACATGCCCTTCCTCGGCCTCGTCCCTGGATTGTGGGATGTGTCTAGCCACACGGTGTGTCAGGTCCGTGTGATCTGTCACTGCTTTGGCATTGTAACCCGCGAATTCATCAAAACGCCTTGCAGTCATTGTGGAGACCGCAATCTTGCCTAATTAGGCACTATTGTGGCCACACCGAGCCCACAACAAGCACAATCAACAAAAAAGATGATGCAAGAGTCGAACGTGTCAAAGTTCATAGCAACCCCAGCATACAGACATGTTTTGGTGAGCTGTGTGGCAAGAATACCGGACAGGACAGCTGGAAAGGGGTCCTTCCAACCAAACCAGAAATCTTGCATTTGTCAGACACAGCGCAGCAAGACAATAGCAGACAACCAAACACTTTCTGGGATGCTGCTTGGGCACCAAGTCCAGTCCTTCCGAGTCAGTCCAATGATATGTCTAGATACCATATCATATATATATGTTATGTAAGAATATATTTATTTACATATTTCACACACACACACACGCATATATATATATATACACATATATGCCGCAGGTCCTGCTGTCTCAGAAAGGAGACCGCCTGACTGTGTAGTGTGGTGCGCCAACTGGTGTCTCACACATGCTGTAAGGTCGCTTGGAGCAAACACAGAATAGACACGAGTTGAATTTGCGCACGAAAGCCAAAGCTGAACAGCAACACTGAGAAAGGTAATAGACAGCAGAATCAACCATTGCAAAGAAACAGCAAAAGATTGCAAGCACAGCAGGGAAGCAGTACACAGTCATTATATAAAGAACAAAGACGGTAACTTGTGCAATCTCTGGCCGTGATAATCCCCACAAATAGCACTTGGCGTATGTTGCAAAGGCGTTGGTTGACTTCAGGGAGTTTCTGGGCACTGTATTTACATGCCGCCGCTGCGAGACTCGAGGCTAAGAATCAGAACAATGACAAGCAAGATTCCTGGAAGTCAGACCAGTCCTGGAACAAAAAGAATGATTGGGCCAGACCCTTAAATCCATTCACCAGGCGCAGCTGGACGTGCACAGAAATGCAGCCCTTTGAGAGCTTGTGCCAGCACAAGACTAGACACCCCTGCACTGACCTTCTCAGGACAACCATTCATCGAATGGTAACCACACTGAGTCATGGGTGAAGCGCCACGCTCAGACGTGAAGTTTCAACATGAAGGACACTGGAACTGATCAGGAACATTTGAGAGAGGGCCTATTTTGGTTTGATTCACTGAGAGTCTCAACCCTTGATCGACTGTAGACCCAAGCTTAGTGGCGACTCCTAGCTGTATCAGTGAATTTGGGCCGAGGTCAGAACCGTCAGAGAATTGGAACAAGCGTGGAAACGCCGCTGGTTGGTTGGGTAACCCAGCACCAGCTCCACTGTCAGCTTTGCGGTCGGTTCCAGCTCTGCGGCAAGCGTTACGCTTAAAATAGGCTGCACACTGGCTCTTGCCCGTGCCACTGAATTGGCCCCAAGGACACCTCCACACTTCTCCATTGAACTTTGTCCCATGTGGAGCCCTGACCGTTGCTTGCAGGCGCTTGCAGCAGGGCTCGCAGAGCACACAAAACTCCACGCTGGGGCCTCTGAGAGAAAAGCACTGCCGCCTTGTTGCGGAGTCATTCGAGTCAAAAGAGCTTTGCGCCAATGATGTGATTGCAGTACAGTATTTTCAGCTAACCGCTTGTAATGGCTCCTTCTCACACCGCAACGAGCCTTTGCCATACTTCACTGCTTGGGAAACACTATGAATTGACTATGAATATCAAAACATATCTTTTGCGAGGTCTTGGAACAATCGCGGCGGCAGACAAGGCGAGGTCACCACAACACAGGATTTTCCACTCCGCCACTCGCAGCCTTATCACACCTCCAGGTAGCTATGACAAGGCTGAGCAGATCCAAAGATACATGGCTTACTTGTTGAAGAATGGCTGGCAGGACAGAACAGCACCCAAACATGCCACCGGTCAGCCTGAAGGTCCGAAGGTCCCAGTTCGCACAATTTGCGCAGGAAGGCGTGAATGCAGATAGAGAGGGCTACGCAGACTTGCAATCCATTGTGGACGCGATGCAGCAGAGGCGGATCCATCACCAAGCCAGGGTAAGGTGTCCATGTAGCAGGTGCACGATGGCAGTTAATACATGTTAATACGGGTCAATACTGCAATCATGATCCAAACGCCCATTTTCCAAACAGAAAATCGGACCATTATTCATATCTTGTGTTTGCGCCAGCAGTTGTGCTCGAAGGAAGCCCGACTTTGGCCTCACTAGCGTTGAAGAGGTTAAGACCTTTCTGCAGGCGGGAATTGGAGCAGGGCTTTGGCAGTTATGTATATCCTTTCTCAGTCTCTTACTGAGTCAGCTAGTTTAGTTTGTTTAGTTGGAGCACTCATTCTCAATCATGTGAAGGTGTCCAACTTGTAGGGTAGACTGTTGCAGCGCTTTGCCTTCTTACCTCCCACCTCTAGTTCTATTCCGACCCCACTGCCAAATAACGAGTGGCAGATTGCATGCTATCGATGCCCAAGGAGACCGACCAGGAGGGCCGCTTTGCCATCGACGCCCAGGACCGTGTGAGGAAGGCCCGCGACGACAGAGTAGGGGTACTGAACTCTACGAATGACATACCGTAGAATTGTAGATAGACTTTGTTTAACAAACCGCAACTACTAGGAACAAGAAGCTACTAGGGGCTCCTGGCATTGCTACTAGGAGCAAGGACGCTACTAGGGGCTCCTGGCCTTGCTACTAGGAACAAGAAACTACTAGGGGCTGAGCGAGGATTGTGATTCAAAGTAGTGCGAACAGATTTCAAGGCGAGGATCGTCCTAAACCGATCTGATGAACGCCGGTGCAGGGTGTGCATTTCCAACCTAGTCTTTGCTCCCATGTCACCCTGTTTCCAATTGAGCCTTTGCTTGACCAGTGCTTTCGTAGAGATGTTTGATGGCCTAGATTGACCGCAATGCGCGGCAACAGCCGCCTGAGCCGCAACCGTGGAAGTCGCATACAACAACAACGAGGCGCAAAGAGGAGCTAAGTACTGCACAGACCAGGTGATTCTTGAGATAGGTGTACTAGCAGATAGCATTTTCACATACACTGGAGGAAAGATAGAAGGCTCATGCAAAGCCTTCGCTTTTGGACTTTTACTGTAGACAGATTTGCAGCTACAGCTCAGCTGAAGAGGCCATCACAGGCACAGCCGGCACGCTCGCAACCAGCGCGGTTCAATGCTGGAATCCTATATGGTATAGATTGTGTTGTTTAATCTTACTGTAATTATTGAAAAGAAAGAGGGACAGAGATGAAGAGATGTGGAGAGAAAGAGAAGGATAGAGTGTAAGTGTGAACGAGTGACAATTTGATCAGCAGCTTGCGGCTGCTTGCGGCGAGCCGAGGCCTTTGAAGCGCCAACTCATGTCCAGAAAGAAGAGGCACCTTGCTGAGGGAATGGCGTGGGACAATGTAAGAGACTTCTCAGAATGCCCCAACAGATCCCCCAAACAGATCACAGCAGTGACAAACACAGCAAGAACTCAAATGCAAAAGAAGAGGGGCCACAGCCCCACATACACGATTGGAGGATCAGAACAAGCTTTGGCAGATTTGGGTGTGACATAAAAAGGCCGGGAATCACTGTTTCAGCAGCAGCAGCAGCAGCAGCAACAGAAAGAGCAACAGGAAAGCACAGCACGAACAGCAGCCAGTTTTCTAATATGAGCACAATACCCAATTGTAGTGGGTGGCAACCACGACAAGACAGAAGCAAAGAAAACAGCAACAGGATGGCAGAAGCAAAAGGAGAAAACAAAGACATACGGAGAAAATAGAACAGCCAAGTGGCTCTCAATAACTTTGCTGATCGTTCAATTTGTTATTTGCGCTTCCCAAGTTGAAGCCAAGAAACTGGGATGCCTTTAGCACCTAGCACAAACCCTGATCATGATAAGCTTTTGAAACGTCCCATGCCATCAGAAATTATTTCATAGGTGGCAGTATTACCTGAAATATTGGTTTCAAAATAATTTGCACATCGATAGTATATATTGTAAACAGGGAGTAGTGGTGGTGGGGGTCAAACTTGTTTTCTCGTTTAGAGTCAAAGGGTCCAAAATAATTAGGAACGTATTCCAAATTAGCAAGATGGAGATCTCAGATGTGGGAACGCGTGCATTTTTTGCTTGTGCCAGATATGCCAGATTCTATTCGTAGGGTGAACCAAGCATTCAACCACCCAGGAAATAAGGTTGATTACAGTATAATATATATATACACTATTATACTGTACATATATATATGTGTGTGTGTCTATTTCCATTCCTGCTGTATGCGGACCCCCAAGCATATTGGCTGCGTTCTTTGTGCTTGCCATGTTTGTTTTCTCAGAGTAGTTGCTCAAGTACTGGCTGTCACCATACCAATCTTATGGCCAGTGTACCAACTATGAGGCCCCAACCCTCACCAAGTGGTGCATTGAAGGGGCTCAGGAGGGGTTTCCCACCCCGAAAACAAATTTCACAGGAGAGCAGTGTGCAGGGAAAATGCTATCGAGTGATACCATCCAAGGGCATCAGGGACGTCCCCCACCCCCAAAATGATATTCTCAGCACAGCAATGTCAAGTACGAACGCGGCAAATTATCCATGAATCACCCGGTCAATTTTTGGGGGGGACCCACCCCTCCTTCTCCAAGTTGCATCATGTTACAAGATTTGAAAATCAATTTCAGACAGTCCGGGCTCTCAGAATCAATCAACAGTAGGTGGTATACCCACCTCAAAATACTCCCTTTAATTATGGTAGGTGGTGGACTGTCCCACCCTGGTAAGGCACATCGTTTGAAAATTGCTTTTTAGCAGACTGATTCCTGAACTTTGATAGGTGGTCGCCATGCCCAAGATGATGTGCGGTCTTGTCACGTCGAGTCAGTATAACCTTAGTAACCTGGAAACATCAGTGAAGGAACAGGACACACAAAAAGAAGAAATCGACAGCAGAAGCCAGAGGATCAGGACAGTATAGGACAGCTGTCAAACTAAACTAAGTGTCGTCATCCACCTGCGTTGAGCATGGAATGGCTCAGCGCGCCAAAGATGAGCGCCTGGTACAACTGGAGCGGATTGGGGTCGCAGAATCAAGAAATATATAAATTCTTCCCAAGCCGGCTGGAATGTGAAGAAATCTGAGCAAAGGGCCATGGCTCATGACCAGTTTACAGCGATCGCCTAGGTGGACTATGATGAGGATGAGCCAGAAGCCGATGATACCCCGGGAGTGTCTCAGGTAAAGGCGGGCACATGTTAGACTCACATTGAGCTTGCTTGGTAGCACCTGGTTCAATGCAGGGCAATTCTGCCCGCATTATGCAGTGTTCACTGCCGTTGAATTACAAGTATGAGGGATTGAAGAACCCAATTGGCAACAGACGGATATTATTGGAAACTCATTGCCTGTGCAACAGACGGAGATCAACAACAGAAAACCCAAGAACCCGCAACTTGGCGTGAAGATCAACTGTAAAGCAGTGTCTCTACGTTCTAATATGCAAAAATGTAATTGAAAAGGAGAGGGTGAAGAGCAGCGCAGCAGCGCCTGTCAAATAGCATGCGAACCGAGGCCTGGCAAGCACTGGACACAGTATGATGACAATACCACGATTTGGTGGCACCCTGGGCAGCACAAGGTGGTGAAGCAGGTCAGTCTCAAAGGAAGGGATGCCACCAATAGTACACCCTCGCCTGCTTCAAAGATACCCATGATCATCATAATGTGCCCATGTATGGGGGCTGTCAGGTTTCAGATGTTGCCCATTTCCCTCAAAAAGAGCCCATGCCAACGAAGTTTCTTCGACTTCGCGCAATGAACTCAACCCGGGAAGGCTTTTTTTTGCACAGGGCTTTGATTTTTGATTTCAGGTACTATGAAGGCCCAAGGGGTGTGTGGTGGATGGGGCCAGAGCATTCCGAGTTCCGGCCTCAGACATTTTGGTGCAGGGATTCACCATTATGCAACCAGTGTCAGATTGAAAGCCAGGATTCATTTAATGGAATCACTGCGTTTGCTGCTTTTTGGTGAGGCCTCAGCCCTACAACTCGGCCCCTGCAGTTGAACCGGAGGAATGAGCCGGACAGCGGCTCAACTGTGGCCCAAAGGGTCCAACCTCAAGCATTTTAAGCGAAAGCCCATACAGTGGCTCAATCGCTCTAAAATTAAATCTGTCGTCTGTAACCTGGAAGAGATGGCCTCCAACTTGTACTAGCGATGCCCTCCAAGTTTGTAAGCAGACCTTGTATTTGCATTACTAAGCCCACGTTCTTTCACTCATCCCAGAGTGACTTGTGTGGTGACTCGAGGGAGTGTCAAGTAGCATCTAGGGCGGCCCGTGCTGGCCGTGGCCTTGGCGATGCTCGCAACAGGAAGCGAAATCTGGGGCACGATTCCAAGACGTCTTAAAATGACAGAAGCTTGCTGGAGCTTGGATCATCTATATAATTGTTGGGGAAGAATACCAATTCAACAGAACACGGGGGTGAGGAGTACCGCACCAAATTCATGAGAGTAGTGTAGCTGCAGCTGCTCAATAAATCCACAACGTCACCGGAGCGGCCACACCCAACGGACATTCTTGCCTTTCTGGAATGGTCTGGAATCGGCTCGTGATGCGCGTGATAGTCGTAGTGCGCCTGTAGGGCGGAAAAGGATGGAACAGGGTGCTTGGATGGGAGCAACCTGGGTGGAATCTTTCACGAAGTGTGAACTCACAAAGTCCAAGTGCAAAACGAAGCTCGCGGCCTTAGGCGCGAGAAACGCAAGTCGTGCGCGCAAGTGTCCCAACCCTTAAGCTCAGGAAAAGGGGATTTGAGCCAAGAACCTGCCACAATGATGATAGGACGCTCATGCCGATGAGATTAGTTAGTAAGTGGTAATGGCAACTCGAGCTGCTTCGTCTTCTTTTGAGCTTTCAACCAACTGTGGTTGGCCCAGGTCATGAGCAGTGTCATGAGCGCGGCATTTACACGTTTTGCCGCGCGCAATCGCAGGATGAGTGCCAGCATTCTCCATGCTCTCCAGTGCGGTAGGTGTCCGCGCGTTTCCGCGTGGATGGCCTTTGGGACTCTATGACCTCTATGTTTGGCTGCTCTCACTTTCACCTCCTCATCGTCTCGAACTGTTCATCGTGAATTTGGCGTTGTTCGAGGAGGCGACTATGAGCTGAGTTGCGCAAATCCTTGTGCCCCGAGTTTGTCAACCTCTTGTTCCAATTCTCGCCCTCTACTAGTTGTTGAGACGAGTCGTATCTTCTTGTTTTAAGTCGCATCTTTTGAGCGTTTGCCTTGCGGTGGGGTATGTGTTGCTTGTGATGTTTTGATGATTTTGTGATATGGTTTTGTTGGGCCCTACTAGGGCTACTAGGGGCTCCTGGCATTGCTACTAGCAGCAAGGACGCTACTAGTCCGATCTGGGCCCGGTAAAGAGGCCTGTGAAATGTCGCCTGTGGGGCCCGTGGAGCGTGTGAGCACTACACGCGCACCTGCGTTTTTTTAGAAACGCGGAACCAAAGCCACGAAAAACATACAAGGAGAAGAGAAGACCCCATGGAACTCCCCACTCCCATCATCCGCTGAGCCTTTGCTGCTATATAACAACACGGACACAAGAAAAGCTAGAACCACAGCGAAGACAAATATACAAGGAGAAAAGCACTATAACAACTGCAGCCATTACAGCCTCTCACCAGCATACCTCTGGACTCTGGAGCCCGTGGCCTCATCCCTTGGTCGTTTTGTTAGCTTCTTGACTTGTGTCAGCGTCGCAGCTTCCTTCTGAGTTTGAAGCCACTTCTTCTGTACTCTATGTTCGTTGAGACGCTCATTCTTTAGGATTCTTACTTCGAGAGCTTGGGTGCTGGTGCTGCTCCAGGGTGCAGCTTTGAGATGCCGACGGCCATGCTCGCTTCAGAGCTTGAGGGCTGGAGGGTGCTGCTGCTGCTGCCGCCCACAAATGGCCGACAAATATCGTTTGCATTCTTTTGCACTCTTTGGTGTCTATGCTTTATAGGCAAACATGAGTAGCTTGTTCCTAGTAGTAAGGCCAGGAGCCCTAGTAGCGTCCTTTCTCCTGGCGTCATTTTCGGCTCTTTAGCCGTTGTTGTTCATTTGTTTGGTCGAAGGTCTCGGTCGCCCTGTGGACTTTGGCTGTTGAGCAGCTCGCTCCTTTTACAGTAGATGTTTTTGACCGGCCCCCAATAGCTTTGTGACATTAGGCCCTAATCATTAGGCCTGGTCAAAGGCTCGGTTGTCCAAGACTGCAATCTTGGATGGGGTCGCTGTCATGGTGGTCAAGGACCTTGTCCAGGATGTACTGGTAGTGCCCAAGTACCAAAGAACATTGGCCAGGAGGGCCACAAACAAGGTGAACAAAGTCAAAAAACATAAAGTTGTGTTGGCCAAATGTGTCAGAAGGTGGTTCTGGATGTTGAGTGGGGTACCGCAGCCGCGATGGTAGCTGGTAGCTGGAGAAACCATCATGGTGGCCTGTGACGCTTTCGGAATCGCATACATCATTTGTAAATCATTTGTCTCCTTTTTCCTTGTTCAAGGGCCTGCTGTGGTGTGGCTATGAAGTGGTTGGGCCAGAAGTCCTCATCCTCGAAGTGGGCTTCTTCAAAGCCCTCCCAAACAGGTAGTGCATTATGGCTGCTTCATGTTGCTTCAACTTTGGCCTCCTGTAGTAGGGTTCGGCCACATTGTGATTGTACAAGCTGCTTTTGTTATGTTTTTGGGTCAAGCAGCTGCCGCTTGGACGGAGCCAGAAACATTTGGTCACCTGGGTGTGCAGCTTGATGTTGCGCTATGTTGCGCTTCCAAATTCTCGTCGAGGATGTCATGACTTTTTTAAGCCATCCTTGTCTTGGCTGGCTCCTTCAGCGATTGGCTCGATTTGCTTCCAAACCACTTCGGTCAAGGTGGCGATGATGTTGATCACACCTGTGTGAGTCTTCTCTGACGAGCCATCTTGGCACTCGGCTGTGTTTAGTGGCGCTGCTGCCACTTGTAGAGGATGCCATCGGTAGAGTTTGGAGCTCAAGCCCTAAATCTGCAAAGTCCAAGTACAAAACGAAACTCCCGGTCTTGCCGCGACACCCTTTGGCTGGGAAAACGGGGTTTGTGCCGAAAAGGTGGCACATGGTGGCACGCACGATGAGATGGTCATGCCAATGAATCTGCGGAAGCGCTTTGTGTTCCATGTTCAGTCTAAACATTGTTAGATCCTGTTAGTTAGTTGGAGGCCACACATGCACAGCCACACATAGCTGAAAGGGGCCTACAAGGTCACGTCGACTTATATATACGTATAAGGCCTACCGGATGGCCATGCCACAAAACTGTCAAGGAATGCAGACCAAAAGATGCGGAACGTGAGTTGCCAAGTCTCAAGGCGAAAAACAGGGTTAAGCCGCTTTCTTGTTGTTTTCTCATGCACTGACTGACTGCGAAGCTCGCACGCACACGTGTATGTATATATTTATATATGATATGCTACATATTTATATATGATATGATACATATATATATATATGTATGCATGTGCAACTATGGTACGCACATAGCAGCGAATAGTATTAGGACTTTGCAGTGGTGCTGGGTGTGGCTCAGTGCATTTGGGTACCTCAACCGCAGCTGGCAGATGTGGCTCCCAGGGTTTGTACCTGGTTTAGCGCCAGGCTGTGGCAAACGGATACGGTCGCATGCATTTGCCTGAAGACTAGGTTGTTAATGCTGTCCTTACAATGGGGCCATACGCTTTGAGGTGGTGAAGTGCGTCAGAAAGCCGAAAGCAAGATGCGGTATGTGCCTGTATGTTTTTCGCCTATGTGCAGTGCAGGTTCTAAAGATGAACCCAGGCATGGGCATGCCCGGCATGGGCATGCCAATGATGGGAGGAGCCCGGCCCTAAGGAAACTTAGGACTCCGGACCACTACGTAAGTCTTGAATGTCAATACCCTGCACCATTAGCAACCTATTACCTTTAACATAAATGCTCTATCCGCATTCGAGGGGTTTGGGCCTTGCTTGCTTGAAGGGTTTCTTTTGTTCAAACGCTCGGGACGACGCCCTTCGCACGTCCTCATGCCTGGCTGAACTTGTGCCGAGGGCATGGGAATGATGTCCGGCGCGATGCCTGGAATGCAAGGAGGAGCCCCTGTGCCAGATGCAGGACAGATATGGGATCAGTAAGGAGCAATGCAGGTTGGAGGCCGTCGCTATTAGGTTGGAGGCCTTTGGTCCTTTTATGTCCTTTTCGTGCTGGGTGACAGGAGCCATCCAGGCAGAAAGGATCAAGCAAGCCAGATTTGAGGCTCACCACCTCAAGCCTTGCATCCATCGATCATCCTCAATGTCTACAATTCAACAATTCAGTCAGTTTGCCGCGCTTCTTGCGCATCTCATGCCTCGCAGGCTGTGGTCACCAAAAAAAGCTGCGGCCAAAGACGCGGAAAAGGCTGGATCATAAGTAGTCATAAGGAATGTCAATGAAGGAATCAGTTAATTAGTTATATAAAATTTACTCATAGTATTGGCTGTGCTACCGCCAGTGCAGAAGCGGCCCACCTCCACTTACAGCGTTTTTGCATGTGTATGTTCCCGAAAGCCTTGGGTTGTGCTGTTGGATTATTCGTGGACCTCAGCTTCACGTGAAGCACCCATAGGAGGATTCGGAAGTGCCACGAGGGTGTAATTAGTATGGCAAATCAAGGCAGTTGCCTGCAAGATTCTTGATATTTCTGGATAACACAACAAACGAACAGTGCAGCTATCCTGATGGCCCCAGCAATCAAAAATCAAAGTTTGGATGCTGGACAGGACCCCTCCGATCAAAACTGAATAGTGACCCCTCACTAATACAGAAATTGGATAGGAGATTTCGGATAGGCAACTTCTATTCCAAAGCCAGCATCAGCTTGGTGGTGGCAGGAGGTCTTTGATCGTAACCGTTAGTAGCCCCCTGTGTGGCCTGGATGCAATGGTCGCCTCGTCTCGAATATATCCAGCCAAGGTCCCCTCGATCCATTTGATGTTGCTTCACTGCTTCACCTTGATTGAGTCTAAGCCTATCAAGGTCTATATATATATATGATATATAAATATATGTGATACTGTAGTATATATGATGTATTTAATGTTCATCTCATTTGTCGTGTCCTCACATTGCTTTCGTCATGCCACCTCCCACATCTGTCACACACTCATCCCCGACAGATCTGAAGTGCTTTGAAATTTGTCATCACTTCACATGTACACTATATGTAGCATCTCATACATCAGTAAAACTTATTAGGAATCTAGGAACAAGAAGCTACTAGGAGCAAAGGGCATCGCTACTAGGAGCAAGGACACTACTAGGGGCTCCTGGCATCGCTACTAGGAGCAAGGAGGCTGCTAGGAACAATGATTTGACACGCAAACACCACAACTATTTGTTTGTTCACGTTCCTGACCTCAAGTTGGGGGGGGCACCCCCAGGCAGCGGGGCCGCCGCAGGTGACCACGGTCTTTGTCGGTGGCCTGCGGAAGAGCACCACGGAAGACAAAGTGGCCGGCCACTTTGCCAAGTATGGCCAGGCATGGCATGTCATAGACATGAATTCTGAAATGGTGCAGGTTTGGCTAAAGGCTGTGTATGGCACTCTTCCTGCAAAAAAATCTTAAGATGTCGCTTTCTCTGGCAAGATTCACTCTTTGTAGATTCTAGCTCTGCAGGTCGAGAGCGTTGACATTAAGAGACTCCCAGACGGAACCTCAAGAGGATTCGCCTTTGTCAAGTTCATTGACAAGGCGAGCTTTAAGTCATGACCATGGCCACAGGTTTAATCAAGCACCTGGGTCAATGGTCAATATGCTGCTGCCCTACCTGCAGGAATCGGTCTCGAAGGTCATAGAGGCCAAAGCTAGCCATATGATTGACAACAAGCGCCTTGTCCATGTCTACTTACAGCGCTTCTGACCGGTGACTTCTCACCTGTGATGGCCATGGGGCGTGTTGTGTGCATCTCGTTGGGGAAGGGAGGCTCCGCAGATCTGCTCGCGGCTGAGGTGGGTCGCAGTACGGCCTCATGGCGGTTCAGCTTTCCAGGCTGCACAACATGCAGAACGAGCCAAGGATATGGTGCAAAGAGAGAAGGCACGTTAAACGGATCAGACAGGGTGAACGAAAAGGAGTGAAGTCATGGAGATCCATAGAGATCCCAGGGTCTGATTGTACTTGTCATTCTTGACACGTGGCCCAACTTTCACAAAGGCATCCTGGCACGATGCGTGTTTATTTCGAACGCCGCCAAATTGACTGTGCCCTGCAAGCAGAGCTCGTGGGCATTCTTCACATGCGTAGAAACATGCTACGCTGCTACCAGTCAAGTCATACGACAGGTTCGGACCCCACAGCAGGTCCAGCAAGTTCCCAAGTGTCCTATTTTGTGTGGCTTGTTTAACATCGACTTTGCCAGCTTCTGAAGGAGAAGAAAGAGTCTGAAGGTCCAGCTACTCAGGACTCCAAGTTGCATTTAAATTTGCTTTAGCTTCGCACCAACACAGGTTGTTGTCAAAGAGGCTTTGTGTGACGTGTGTGTGTGTGCCAACCTGAGTGCAGTCGCTTGTGGGTCCAAGGATGACTACGAAGAGAAGTGGTCTGAAAAGTACTTGCAGCAAGCTGCCTCGCTGCAAGATGACAAAGAAGATGGAGATGAGAAAGAGTCCAATCAGATGAACCCGATGATGGCCATGATGATGAACCCTATGATGGCCATGATGATGGGTGGCATGAATCCCATGATGGGAGGCATGAACCCCATGATGATGGGTGGCGCACGCCCTATGATGGCCGGCTGCGGTGGCTGCGGCGGTTGCGGTTGCGGGGGCTGCGGCTGTTGCAGCAGTGGCTGCGGCAGCGGTTGCGGTGGTTGTCCTGCCTCCGGCTGCGGCGGGGCCTCAGGACAGTCTACCTCAGACCCTGCTGCGCCCAGCACATCACCAGCTGCCGAGAGCGGATCATCGGCACCAAGCACAGCAACTGCAGGTGGCACAGGCGCATGTACAATTCGGCATATTCGACTGATTCACCTATTTAAGAGGCTGGCGCCCAAACTGGCCAACGAGGCACAACGAAGGAAAGGACATGGTGAAATGGTGGTGAAGTGGGTGGGTGGGTGGTTGTGGGTGGGTGGGTGGTTGTGGGTGGGTGGTTGTGGGTTGGTGGTTGGGGGTTGGCGTTGTTGGCGTTAGTGGCGTTGTTGGCGGTTGGTGGTTGGCGTTGTTGTTGCTGCTGTTGTTGCTGTTGTTGCTGTTGCTGTTGCTGTTGTTGTCGTCGTCGTCGTGGTTGTCGGTGTTGTCATGGTTGTGGTGGTTGTGGTGGTTGTGGTTGTGGGTGTGGGTGTGGTTGTGGTGGTTGTGGTTGTGGTGGTTGTGGTTGTGGTTGTGGTGGTGGTGGTGGTGGTGGTGGTTGTGGTTGTGGTTGTGGTTGTGGTTGTGGTTGTGGTTGTTGTTGTTGTTGTTGTTGTTGTTGGTTGCTGTTGCTGTTGCTGTCGCTGTCGCTGTTGCTGTTGCTGTCGCTGTCGCTGTCGCTGTTGCTGTTGCTGCTGTTGTTGTCGTGGTTGGTGGTTGTAGCGCGGGTAAGGGCAACCAAAAGAGCGAAATGCAAAGAGTGCAGGCCAACTTTGGCCAGCTACCCACTGAACACGCCTGGCTTCCCCAAGAAATTTCACAAGCGATGCTGATGCATTTTTGCCCAGGTGCAGAGCGCATTGTAAAACAAAGTATATCATGTGTCCGGCTCATGGTCGGCGGCGGGTGGGTCTGGGGCTCGGCCTGCTGGTCCAATTTAAAGGGAACAGAACAATTTGAGGATACCATGACAAGGACCTGGGGGATAACAGGACCGGGAAGCCAGCAGAGGGAAAATCTTACCACCCAGGGTTGGCATAATTGGACCACAGCAGAGACTGGCTAAGGGGCTGCCAGCCACGCCAGAATTGCCCGAGCACTGCATGCTTTTGCACACAGTCAGGGAAATGTTGGGACACCATCTGAATTTTGAGCGCCTGAAAGTTCTCTCTCAATTTCAAGCGTTGTGCTGCGGTTTAAAGTCCACCCCTATCTCTAGCTTCAAGCTTGTCTCTGGCAAGCTTGAAACCTGCCCCTCGCAGCGCTGGACTAGCTTAAAGCCTCTCTTTGGCAAGCTTGACTCCTGTCCCTGGCACCGCTAGACCGGCCTCGCCGCCCCGGTTCCGCCATGCTTTTATATCATCAATCATGATCAATCTAATTCTACACAGAAAATCTATCCCCGTACGCATTTCCTCTACAGATAGGGGTAGCTCGAGGCCCTTACAAAGGGGTCATTTTGTAACAAAGCACTTTTTGGCAGATGCCGAAACTTACACCCTCCCATTTTGTAGAGTCAAAATCGGCATCCAAGTTATGATCAAAAAAAATTAGAGAACATTTATATGAGACATGAGGACGTCAGGGTACCCTTTTTGTACAGGGCCAAAATCAAGGAAAAACAGGGGGTCAGGGTACCCTTTTTGTACACGTTTGAGTGTTCGTTTTTTGGAGTCAGATTCTTTAGTCGCCTGAGTCAGATACAAATACATACTCCGAGGTGAAAACTGATCCTTCAATGTCCAGATTCCTGAGCAGTCCTTGTGTTTGTTTGCCGCGTTCATTTTTTAGGATGGGAAAAAGAGCTTTGGGATGCGCCATCTATAGAATCTACAAAAACGCTTGGTTTGGTCAAGGTGCAGCCTTAGTTTTCGTGATGTTTAATGTTCAGTATGTGGTGTTGAGCCATCTATGGCTATGCCGGTTACCCCCTGAGTTGCGCCAACAACTTTTTCAGCGGCGTACCCGGTGTACATAAAACAAATCCACTCTGCATCCAATGGACTCGTCCCAGTACACGTGGTGCCAACTCTTCCTTCCGCTGACCAAAGAGCATTGAGAAACTCAGCCACGATTCATAAAATGAGGATGGACCAAAGATTTGTTTACACAATGACTGTCACCAATGTTTGTCTTTACAAAGTGGGCATGAACAGAGAATCATATTGGCATGTCACACAAAGTCGGCATGAACAAAGAATCATATTGGCATTTGAATGCATTTTACACTATTTCACAGGACAGCAAAGGTCAAGTTTAGAATGGATAATGTGAATTAGTCTCCAAATACCTGAGGTTCACATTTTGTAGAGATAGTTCAGGGTCATCTCCATTTTGTACTGTAAGCAAGATTTTTAGATGTAAGCACTGTTTAATATACTTTCCGTTAGCACCGCAAGTTCATTAAACAAAAACAAAAAATCATATAGTTTCTGACATCGTCTATTAGAGTCCGATGTTCAACATATGCCATTGCACAGTACAATCGCCGCTCAAGTTTGGATTAAAAAAAGAACAGTCAGATGCGTGCGCACACAGTTTCTCTACAGAATGGTTCCGGAATGGTCAACAAATGGAGTCTTAAATCATGTCCTCGACCAGGTCTTTGATACCATTTTGTAGAGAAATCACTTTGCTGAATGGCTGTTTTATGCACTTTTCAGCATAAGATAGTGATCTTCAGGCATAACCTTTTTGTACAAGCCCACTCTGGCCCATGCCATTTTGTATAAGCCCAATGCCCTTGGGTCAGGGCTTTTTGTAGACTGTAACCCTAGGTCCCTTACAAAACTGCGGTTGTCAACCCCTCCCCCCTAATGTAGACGGGGATGAAAATCTTCCCCAAAGCCAGTCACCCAGTTGCAAACGCCAAACATCGCTCTCGATCTGTCGCCGATTGAAGTTTCTTTGCCCTGGGCCTTCTCTTTGGCCAGCCTCGTAGCCTGTCGCAGGGTCCACTTGTACTACCTCCACCTCAACCAAACAGACAATCAACCAAACAATGCCACCGACTAGCTTAAAGCCTCTCTCTGGCAACCTCGGCACCTGTCTTTGGCACCGCTAGATTCCGCCACGCGGCTAATTATTAGCATTTATTTGCCAATCTAATTCCAGACAGAAAATGGTCCTCAAAGATCCTCAAAGCCAATCACTCAGTTCCAAACGTTGCTTTCTGACACGGATTAAAGTATATCTAGCTGAAAGCATCTCTCTGGCCAGAAATTTCATGCGGAACCCCACAGGACAGTGTTCTCTGACGTGCTCCCCCATCATCGGTTGGGGTTGGCGGATATACTTGAACCATGGCTTCAATGGCTTCAACTGAACTATTATACACCATGCAAATGCGAGGAAATTCTGTTTTACTTCGATCTGTGCCCGCACGACGAGGCTGCATGCCAGGCTGCTGCGGTGGTGGCTGTATGCCAGGTTGTTGTGGGGGCTGTTGCAGCTGCATGCCAGGCCAGGCCCTGACAATCCCAAATCGCTACTAGCACTGAGGGTGAGTCATGATTCCCGATCCTTTCAGATTTGCCCGATCAGAGGGCACAGTGGCATGGTGCTTGCCCAGCCTTTCCTTCAGGTTGCGGCTGCTGCGGAGGCTGCCCATGCGGTGGCTGCCCGTGTGGTGGCTGCCCCTGTGGCGGCTGTGGCTGTGGCGGCTGCGGCGGCTGCGGCGGCTGTGGCGGCTGTGGCTGCGGCGGCTGCGGCGGCTGTGGCGGCTGCGGCGGCTGTGGTGGCTGTGGCTGTGGTGGCTGCCCTTGCGGCGGCTGCCCTTGTGGCGGCTGTTGTGGTTGCATGCAGGGGGGGTTGCCCTTGTGGCATGCCCTCTATGCCCAACATGCCCTGCAACTTCGCCAGCAACCCCGCGAATCATGCTGCCCCATGCTTTCTAGAGCAGTTTCCAGTGGGTGCCAAAGGCCAGCCACATATGTATTGCGTAGAAATTGGCTCGACCAGAGAGAAGCGCCGCGAAACCAAGGCACCGGCCCTGCTGGAGAAGGGGATAAGTCTCAAGCTGATGGGTCAGAGAAAGACTCAGAAGACAAAGGCCAGGAGATGCCAGGGCTCACAGCAGTACAGAGTCATCAATTGTTCCTTGCTTTGTGCAAGCAGCTGTTATCAACAGCTTGCATTCTGAACTCCACAAAATGCCCACGCCAACCTTGGGGAAGATCTCTCTGAAACCAGCAACTTGTGACCAGCGTCAGTTAACCCCATTGGCTGGATTTTGTACTTTATGTTCTTTTGATCGTGTCCCGACCAGGTGTTGAAGCCAGCGAGGTAAAGGGCGCTGAAGGCTTGGTGAAGCCTGTAAAGCTTGAACGTCTAGACTCTAGACCTGCTAAGGCGCCGTCGAGGTCACTGCAACTCTTAGAATCCATTGCGATGCAACAATATGATGTACTGTGTATATAGAATATACATGAATATACTAATATTATATATATATAATGTATATAACTATATATATATGTGATATATTTATATGTGCACGGTCATGATGCCCGAATGTAGCGTATAGACATACATTTCCACGACGATGTGTCAATAGGTTCATTCACGTTCATCCAGATGCAGCAAATCAATCGCACTTTTTGGACTGCCTCAAGCGCACAGGCAGCGGGCCGGTGAAAGAAGCTGGCGGTGAGAACCGGTACCAGCCATACTGAGGCTTTGTCACAAGACGGCTAGACAAGTCAGTCTGCCCTTTCCAAAAGCAATAGCCGTAGCCAGTCACTGCCAGCTGGTGATGATGGTTTGGCAGGATTCGAGGGGCGTTCAAGAGCCATGCATTATATATAAGTATAGTACCAACAGGTGCTAAGCATGAAAGCCAAACAAACAAGAACACCACTGCGGTGAGGCTCTCATTTGGTCGCTGCAGCGATGTTGGGCATTAAGCATTGCTCGGTGCAGAAGTGATGCACCAGGCCTGCTTGAACATAACAGTAACAAGAAGCTACTCGGTGGAGGCCATCCCTATTAGGTTGGAGGCCCAATGGCAAGTGGCAATGCAAAAGACAAGACCATTCCCGACTGTATGTGAAAACGTATGCCCCTTCCAATGTTTGTTTGGCCTTGGTCTTGGCATCCTGCTTTGCACATGTTGTGATGATGCTTTGCAATCGCTGGGCCGCGTGAGGTGCGCCCAAACTGAGTGAGTGCAATGGCAGGAAGAACTCTGGAGACGAAAGCCAGAAAGAGCTTCAATGCTTGTTGATTCAGTTATTCGTCTTTGATCATTTCCTCTCTGATCAGATCACGCACCGCTTTCTCCAACAAATTTAAAACTGACATTTATTCAATCATTTCAAGCTCATTCCCCATGCACATAATTCCCCGATTTGTTGTGCCTTGCATTGCAAAGATATGGTGCGCGAAGATGCGGGCTCAAGCATTTAGGGCTGGCTAGAAACCGCGCGTTCTTCGCGCGGGAGGCGCCTGATCCAGGCGACAGGGTTTGGGCAAGTTGCACGGGAGGAGCATGTTCGGGATTGCACACCCTAGGCTGATCTAGGCTGGCCAATCCCAAACCCTGGGAACAACCCTTGGTGAGCGTGTGCATGCTGTGAATGTTCTCAGGCATGATGATGCCTGGGGCGGCTTGACTGCAAAATTGAATAGGGGACACAGTTTGCTGCTGCAATGGGGAAACAGAAAGATTGCCTTCCAGCATAGCAGCATGAAGCATGACAGTTCATGTCTCAACCAATCAGCACGTGACCAGTGGCCTGATCGTCTTCACTTATTGAAGTACTGATGGATGTGAACTTCAATTGCTCTCGATTCTGCAGTGAAAGCTTCTTGGATTCGCGCAGTCTAGGCCATGCCCATGATGCCTGGAATGGCCATGCCAGCAGGATTTGCAGATGCTTGTGGTTGTTTGCTGCCAAGTTAGCTTCTGTTCTTCTTTTAAGCAGTCCTCTTTATTGATGTTTGAAGCTGTCCTTTTTGTTCGCCTTTGGTCCACGTTGCACCAGGAGACAATGATAGAATGAAACAGGCTGTCAGGGGCGTCTGGGAGCGAATCGCTGGCCTGAACATGTTCGACCAGCATAGGGCATGCCTGTTGATATGTCCAACCCGTTTATCATTTGCATGATCCTATGAAATGACGCTTGCAGCTTGTAAGATCTTGTGGTTGAGCACCATTAGGTGATGGCGAAGAAGCCCAAGAGAGAGGATGACAAAGCCGCATTGCAGAACAATGGACTTAAATCGAAGGGTTATCAACATGTTGAGCATGTTTGTAAAGTACTATTGCCAGGTACTTTGTTACTGCTGTATAGCATTTTGGAAGGCCAGCATGATCCAAACAAGCTTCAAAGCATGAATCAGACATGGGCTGATGGATGATGAGGACTTTCCCGGGCTGTGCCATGCCATATCCTACGTTGAAGAGCCAAGGTCACCACTGTCTTTGTTGGCGGCCTGCGAAAAAGCACCAGCGAAGACAAGGTCATTGGTCACTTCGCCAAATATGGCCAGGCACGCTCAACACGCTGGTTTTCTGTTTGCCTCGTGCGTGCCGTTCGTGCATTTGGTCCACCCTTTCGGTGGGCGAGCTCGGGGGCTCAATGCAGGTGGAAAGTGTCGACATCAAGAGATTGCCGGACGGATCCTCCAGAGGCTTCGCTTTCGTGAAGTTCGCAGACAAGGAGCAAAGCCTCTTGAGCCGGGGACATGCTGCTTTGCTTAGCTCCCCCGCCCAGAGATCACAGTAGACATGCGTTGTCCTGAGGACTCGGTGCACAGGTGTGTGGAAGCAAAGGCTAGCCATATGATCGACAACAAGCAGCTCATGCAGCAAAGAACCGCGGACCTGATCTCCCAAGTCTATGGATGGGAAGCCGTGTTGAAAGTTGGACAGAATTGTTGGAACTCAGGGTCCTCCCAAAATGCTTGGCAAGTTTGTCGCTTAGGAAGCTTTTGTTCCAGGGACGGTTCTCCAAGGTGGGTGGCTGTCCGGCCACATGGTGGCACCGCCTTCCAAGCGGCTCAGCACGCTGAACGGCAACGCATGGCCCACGACAGGGAAAAGGCAGGAATTGATGGCTCGTGAAATTCAGGAGACACTGCACTCTCTTTAGTTTTTTTGGAGTCGAAACTGCAGGAAAAGAAAGAGACCGAACAGCCTGCAACGGAGGACTTGTGGGATGCTTTGCAGTGTCCATGATTCCATGATCAATACATGGCCTCACAGCGCAGGGCCTGACCCGACACCCTGCAGGAAGACTATGAAGAGAAGTGGTCTGAAAAAATACCTCCAGCAGGCTGCCTCATTGCAAAGCGGTGGTGAGGACAAAGAGGAAGAGGATGGAAAAGACAAAGACACACCAGTGAATCCTATGATGGCAATGATGATGAACCCTATGATGGCCATGATGATGAACCCCATGATGGCCGGAATGAACCCAATGATGCTTGTTTTGCAGACAGCAGCAGGTGCCGCTTCATACCAAAATGTTGTTTGCAGCCACTCCTTTCCAAGCTTCTAATTGAATGGCATGACATCTAATTAAGGATGATGGGTGCACGACCTATGATGATGCCGGGCTGCTGTGGATGTCCTGGCGCTATGCCTCAGTCCAACAATAGCTCGGGCGAGGCCGAAGGTAGCGCCGGGCCTTCACAAGGTGGGGTGCCATTTCGGCTGTGGTCACTGTAGCTGTTGAAACTTTGCTATGAAAAGCTTCCCGCGCACGGCTGACTACAGAACCGACATCACACCGCATTTGAGATGTTTGCTTTTGGAGGCTCAACTGGTCCAGCTGGTACTCCTTGCATGCCGTGTGGTGGCTGCATGATGCCGGGCTGCATGATGCCAGGTGGGGAGTGGAAGAAAAATGATGAAACTACATCAACTACTTATTGTTTCTACTAGCTTCTTGTTCCTAGGAGTAAGGCACTTGTTACTAGAAGCGATGCACTTGTTCCTAGTAGTTTATTGTTTCTACTAGCTTCTTGTTCCTAGTAGTAAGGCACTTGTTACTAGAAGCGATGCACTTGTTCCTAGTATCTTATTGTTTCTACTAGCTTCTTGTTCCTAGTAGTAAGGCACTTGTTACTAGAAGCGATGCACTTGTTCCTAGTAGCTTATTGTTTCTACTAGCTTCTTGTTCCTAGTAGCTTATTGTTTCTACTAGCTTCTTGTTCCTAGTAGTAAGGCACTTGTTACTAGAAGCGGTAGCTTATTGTTTCTACTAGCTTCTTGTTCCTAGTAGTACGGCACTTTTTACTAGAAGCGATGCACTTGTTCCTAGTAGCTTATTGTTTCTACTAGCTTCTTGTTCCTAGTCCTAAGGCACTTGTTACTAGAAGCGATGCACTTGTTCCTAGTAGCTTATTGTTTCTACTAGCTTCTTGTTCCTAGTAGCTTATTGTTTCTACTAGCTTCTTGTTCCTAGTAGTAAGGCACTTGTTACTAGAAGCGATGCACTTGTTCCTAGTAGTAAGGCACTTGTTACTAGAAGCGATGCACTTGTTCCTAGTAGCTTATTGTTTCTACTAGCTTCTTGTTCCTAGTAGTAAGGCACTTGTTACTGGAAGCGGTGCACTTGTTCCTAGTAGCTTATTGTTTCTACTAGCTTCTTGTTCCTAGTAGTAAGGCACTTGTTACTAGAAGCGATGCACTTGTTCCTAGTAGCTTATTGTTTCTACTAGCTTCTTGTTCCTAGTCGTAAGGCACTTGTTACTAGAAGCGATGCACTTGTTCCTAGTCGCTTATTATTTCTACTAGCTTCTTGTTCCTAGTAGTAAGGCACTTGTTACTAGAAGCGATGCACTTGTTCCTAGTAGCTTATTGTTTCTACTAGCTTCTTGTTCCTAGTAGCTTATTGTTTCTACTAGCTTCTTGTTCCTAGTAGTAAGGCACTTGTTACTAGAAGCGATAGCTTATTGTTTCTACTAGCTTCTTGTTCCTAGTAGTACGGCACTT